GGGTCATAAAATGAGACCATCAGTGTGATAGTGCTTCTAAACTCTAAAGCTCTTAAAAGCTTTTATCCACTTGGTGGATCAAAAGACTTCATTATAAAGAATCCCTTGAATTGTGGAGACTAGAAACTGCTGTGGGTCCTCAGGGCAGGCTAGATACTTCAAATAACTCATTGTGCCTCCTAGTGGCCAGAAACTGTGTTGGGTGCTAGGCATAAAATGAGTTTTGCTAGAAATGTTAGGGTTACTCTATTTATCAGTAGAGACAAAGTATTACTATGACTGGTTTAAGTTGTTGGGATGTAAAGCATGGTGTGCCACCTTGGCGTCTGAAAAGCTGAAACTTTAAAACTTTCTTAGAAGCTCCCTATGAACCCCTTTGGGACCCTTAAAGACTCTCAGTTGTACATGACAACTGTGACTGTCCTCTTACAAGGTCAGGGACATAGCGTAAAATTTCACCCAGACATTTATACTTCTGTGCTGGTGGCCACCTCCACACCCCAATTTGCTCTGCTGAAGCTGATTTCCATTTGGCAGTGGATCAGGGAGATGAAGCTAAATACCAGGGCTCCACTGTGTGACTTCATGATGGCCTCGCCCTCCCCTCAACATGGTGCTGTTTCTAGTTGTGCTTTAAGATGCAGACTAGAACCAAGGATAGGTAAGCCTTCATTTTTGGATGTGCCTCATTTATTTCATTTTATTATAACTTTTCTAATGGAAAGGGGAGACTTAATGGGTGAAGATTTATTTTAAAAAATGCAAAATTGAGCATAACAAATATAGAAACCCAAAAAGCCTATTATTCCTTTGCAAAACCAGCCCCTTGCTGGATGGTGTAGCTAAGAGCATCAGCTCATGGTCACTTCTGTTCTCCACGGTACCCTTGCACTGGCACAGTGCCTGGAAGGGCAGGAGGGATGTGCTCAATAAATACTTATGGCATAAATGCATAAATCAATGGCAGTTATTTGGATTTCAATAGAAATGGATCCTGGACCTGAGATATTGCCAGATGGGCAGACAGGTTACAGACTAGTGATGCATCTCCAAGGCTATAAAAATGTAGCCATTTCTGGAGTCACAGGCTGACATTTCGGAGGATGATTATATGCACAATTTAACCACATGGCCGTTTGTGCCCTCCAAGTACCATCGATTCAACAACTGTTTTCATGTTGGTTTTCTTGCTCATGCCTTTCTTTTTTCTAAAGTCAAGCCCCTCCGCCCCCCAGCTTCTCATATTTCTAGCAGAATGTGATTTATTCATATGAAATTATGCTCCATTTTTATAAAACCCAAGTTACTGCAAATGATGCTTGAGGTTTCACAGAAAATATTAATTCCTGATTTGCTGCTATAAAGCATCCCTGCTTCTCTGCAGCAGCTCTGTCGTTTTGAGACAGATGGAGGCAGTCTAAGGGTATGATTAACTTCTTAGTCCTGGCAATTTCCTAGTGCTCCTCTTGCCCTAGATTTCAAGATTGACCTCCAGCTTCTCTGCAAATGCACAGTTGCTCAGCTTGATAAATCACACAAATCCTCTTTTTGATCACAGTTATCTACTATTTACTACTTATGAAGGGAAGTTAATCGTATGCAGAGCCACTTCGTATGCAGCACACATATCCTTCCTCCTTCCTCAGGGCACTTTGCATATTTTCCACATTACCAGCGATGTGGTGGATTTCCGAGTGCAGAGCTTCCACACCACAGACAGACCCCATCAAGGAACGTCATGCCCATTTATCCCTGTTCTCCCCTGCCTCTCTCGAACCATCCACTACAATAATCCATAAGCGGCAAAGCATCCGAAAGGCACATTACATGGAGTGAATAAGTAAGGATGACAGTGGCTAGTCCCCCCTTTACTAATAGAGGTTTTCTCGTAGTTTCTATCATTATCTGAAGCAACGGTGGGCCTTCTTGCAGGCCAGCTGATCCTCAAAAGCATAAAACAGGTGAAAATTCTACATAAAAGAACAACACCAGCAAAACCTTGCCATCTCACCCTTACAACAATTGTGCCTATCACTGCAGGGTGGCACACATTAGTAGGGCTGAGGCCAGAATCTGCCTAGACAATGGAATCCAGTTTTGATCTGCAGTGCACGTCACCTTTTGTGGCTGAAATACCGCACAGAGAAAACCAAAAAAAAGCAGAAGGTTTTTGTTGGCTGTGACCACAGATGTTTTTTAAATTTAAGTAATGAGGATATCATGGCTTAATTCTATCAAGGTTGTATATAATTGCTAAAGACTGACTGGACTCAAAGTATATAGTCTTAGAAAAGAAAGGAAAATTCCACCCCTTTTCTTTATAACTAGTCTCACCAGGTTAGGTCTCAAAGCCCTGAAGGCAGGATTTCTTATGGGGAAACAGAAGAACATTGGCTTTCCATAGTGTAAAGTCATATTCCCCCAACAACCCCAAAACAGCAAAATCCTATTTCCTCACAAGTTTTACATCCTGGAACAAAATGGCTCTATTTCTGTATCAAATACCCTGTGTGTTCACCAGATACTTTAGTTATAAGGCTAAATGGAATGGAATGGGCTATGGATAAGTGAACTAGCAGGACACAGAGACAAGGAGTCTGCAGTCGCATGGATTGAGTTCATAAAGGCTTTCTGCCCAATTTCAGAATTGCAGAACTCAGAAAGCACCTCGAAAGCCTCAAAAATGCCTTTTTCCCCCCTCTAGGACAAAAATGAAAGTGCTGCCTAGCCAATATGGAATTTTATATCAAGAGATGATAACAGGTAGAAAACAAAAGGAAGAGCCAGAATAGTTTGTATAAACGATTGTATAACAGGTTAATATCAGAGAGATAGAGAGGGTAGATCTCTCCCTTGGAAGGTCACAACCTGGGGCTGGGGGAGCTGGTTTACTCAGTTCCATTCTCAGGCTAAGGTGTTTCTTTTGACAGACAGAATATGAGGTAATTCATACAGTGGTCTGAACCCAAGCCACATTAACCCTTCTTTAGAAAATCCTGGTTAATTGCATGAACCAAGTTATGTGATAGAAATGACATTACATGATAAATTAGCACTGTCTAATTAAGTAAATTAATGCAATTAATTCAGTAGGCATTTTAAATTACTATTTTGAAAAAAAAAAAACCCTTAAATCTCCAGATAATTACAGATATTTCTTACTTATGGAAATTACAAGGTATGCCCCTCACTCTCCAAACAGAACAGAAGAGTCTAGAGAAGATAGCCTTACACATCTGCATTGTTAGAATAACAAGTCAACTCATCACCTGGGAATGAACACAGCACAGTTCTTCTAATTTTGAACAGAAAACCTGTTAGATTTAAGAAATACTCTCCTATCCTTAATGATACAGAAATTCATAATAAGCATAATGATAATGAAAACTGTTAACTGCTTCAAAGGAATGGATTTCTCCCCTTCATAGCATTCTGCATTTAGTAACTATAAAATCAACAGAGGCTAAGTTACTAGCCAACTATTTTAAAAGAGACTATCAAAAAAAGCATTCTTTTTACTTCATTTGCAACATATCTTTGAAGGAGTCCATATTTTCCTAAAATAGGTTTTGCTTCTTCCTATACCAAAGGTCAGAATGACATTTTGTGTCAATACATGTAACTTCATTGAAATATAATTTATATAAAGTTCATCCACTTAAGGTAATCAGGATTGTGAAACCATCACCATAATTTAATTTTACAACATTTTTATCACCGTGTAACTGTTGGCAATAATATAACATTGTAAACTGCTCAGTGAAGTTTGTGGAAGGAATTTCTTGCTTGAGAAATGAAGGGAGGAAAATGAAATTTAGAAAGGAAAGGAATTTTAAATGTTTTGTTCTGGAGTCTCTCCTCCTTCAGCAGAGACTCCTCCAACCGAGTCTGAAGAAGTGTAGTTATTAGTTTTGGTGATAATCCCAGAATCATTTTCAGAAGATCTCATAGCACAGATTCTTCGAGCACACAGGCTTCTGTAGCTATCATGGGGAAGGCATTTTAATTGAAAAACAAAAAACAAAAAAACCCAAACCAAACAGCAACAACAACAACAAAAAACCAACAAAACCTCAGGCTCAGTCTGCCATCACAGAGAAACTGCTTTTCAGCGAGGAGTTCAGATAACTCACAAAGTGACATGTTTTACCTCGGAAAAGCACTGCATAGAGCTAGTTTACACAATGACTGCTCATTCCACAAAAAAAGAGCTGGAAAGGGAAGGAGCGTAGTGAAGGTTGTCCAGACAACACAGAGATGCCTGCCAGTGAGCTGGGGAGCACCTCCACCAGCTGTTCTTACAAATGTAAGAACCTCACTGTGGAGAGACCTAGAGGCTACATCTTTACCTCCTGACAATTTTTTAAGACACACAGACATAGTAAGGAAAACCCAAAACCTTTCTATTCTAGAAAGTAACTTTATATATCCCTGCTCAACTTTCTTTACACAGCCTTCAACCAAATAAGGAAATGAAATACAGGTTTGCTGTGCTCATTGATTAGGGTGATCTCATCAATAACAAAAACAGAGAGAACAAAGCAAGGTGTGGAAAGGCGGGCAGCCGGGACCATGAACTGGGGTGTGTGCATAAAATATTTCAAGAGGGGATCACCTCAAAACATAGCACCTGGTGAAATCACATGGAAAAAGTTTAAGGAAAACACCTCAAAATAAGTACTTATTGCTGAAAAAAGAGCTTAGATCTCAACCAATTTCAAAGTTCAGAATTTACTGTGCCATTCAGGCCTTCCCTTTAAGTTTGTCTCTTGTTTCATTGCACAACAAGGGATTCTTCATGCTTTTTATGAAATACAACAAGGCGGTTTTTGCTGCAATAAACTTCACACATGCATGACAAATCCAAGCATGCAAACTGTTTAACATCCCAGTTCACAGATACTTTAGGGACAGAATCTGATTATGAATTATATGCCACAATAAATAGGGCTCAATGTTTCATAAAGCAATTTATAGTTCATAAAAATGACAAAATGTACCTGTCAGACAGAGCGTGGAGAGCAGTTCTCTGGGCTGCCTGTTGGAAGAAAGGGCAGAGATGTTTATTTAATATTCTGACTTTTAAATTATGTGCTCAATCAACACTTAAAAAAATCTGTCATACACATTTTTTTCCTATGTGGCCAGATATTGAACTCCTGGCAACACAGAGCATCCTACCATGTTGGAAACATTCTTGAAGAGTGAACTGAAGTCCCATGCAGTGCACACCTGCCCTCATGGGCTGAGTCTAGGGACGCAGGCTGTGGCACATGTGAGTTGGATGGGAACCTCCAAAAAGGCTGGAGCTACTTCATTTTTACTCACTGAAATAACTTTTCATAGATTTTTACTTTTCACTTTGCAGATATTGTCTTGTAATCAAAAAGGACCTGTTTTGGTTCCTCTGAAGCTTCCTTCCCAAAGAAGGTATCATTTTTTTAAATTCAATTTTCAGATTTATTGAAAAAGTCACCACAACTGATTATCAAAATACTGACAGGAAATACGATGGTATTATAAGTTTATTTTGTTTTGGGCTTATTAATAGTATTGTGGCAATATTCTTTTTAGATTTTTTTTTTAGAGATTCATGCTGAAATATTTATTGATAGATGAGATGATTTGGGGATTTGCTTTAAAATAAAACAGTTGAGGGCCCTCTCTAGTGGCGCAGGAGGTTAAAGCACTGCACTGAGAAGCTTAGGCCACGTCCTCAATGAGTTCGATCCCCGCCTGCCCCGGAGGAGATCCACATGGCGCGGCAGACCTCTCCTGACCCGCCCGCTGCTCCCCTCAGCAGTGTACTTCGGCGATCTGTCTGTTCTGCTCCCTACTCTGTCCCTGGTGGGTCCTCAAACCCTCCGCATCTCTGGCCCGTACCCCAGTTCTGTATGAATAAATAAAATAAATCTTTAAAAAAATAATACAGTTGAAGGAAGAAAAAAATAATACAGTTGGTGGGCATATAATGCAACAAGATGGTCTTTGGTTGGTAACTGTTGAAGTGCTGAGATCTTATTATATTATTCTGGACATTTTGGTACATGTTTCTGATTTTCCAAAATACAAAATTTAAAAGAAAAAAAGTGAAGAAAATGTCATCCATTCTGTCAGCAGATTCTCCAGTTTTGACAAGTCCTCACTTAGCATCATCAATAGGTTCTTGGAAACTGTGACTTTAAGTGAAATGACATATAATGACACAAGTTTTACTATAGATTAATAGATACAAATATTCTCTTAGCATATTTATGTACACAAAACATTAGCAAACTTCTAAATAAAGACCCAAACATTCCTAACTTCTAATAATAACCACTTGCATTCATTCGTTCTTTTTTAAATATTTTTTTCACATTATTCTCCATTTAGTACATTTTTTCATCTCAGTTGTAATCCCTGTGGATTTCATTCATTCTTTCTTTCATTTTTTAAAAAAGATTTATTTATTTGTGCATACAGAACCAGGGTACAGGCCAGAAGTGCAGGGGCGGTGAGAGGATTCACCAGAGATAGAGTGGGGGGCAGAACAGACTGACTGACGACGTACATTGCTGAGGGGAGCAGCGGGCAGGTCAGGAGAGGTCTGCCACGCCATGTGGGCCACCTCCAGGGTGGGGATCAAACTCATGCTGAAGTGGCTGCGGCTCCCCCCATAATGCTGCACCACCAAAAGGGCCCCTTTTATTTTTAAACTGTATTCTGGGCCAGGATTGTTGAAGTCCACCCCAACAGGTCAGTGTATAAATGAGACCCAACCTTTGGACGCTCTTCCAGTACAGTGTGCTCTCACATATCCTCACAGAGTCTGGGACAATACGGCACACCAGTAAACTGGATGTATGCATTTTGGGGATGTGAGAGGAAGTGAGTTTCTAGAGAAAACCCATGCAGACATGGGGAGAACATGCAAAATCCACACAGACAATGGCCCACTTCCCAATGAGGAACTGATTTTTGTCCCCATCAACTTATAATGAAATGATGTTGAACAAAATGAGCCTGCTATACTCATTTTTCTTTTGTGTACATATTATAATTTCTGTCCCTTTGCCTCTATTGCTAGATACTCTGAGACTATACACACATTTTGATCTGTCTCAGAAGTCATAATTGGGTGAGGATCAGAGCATGATCTCTAGACACAGGCTTAGGGTATAGATGGTCCATTTCTACCTTATACACTGACATGTAAAATTTATATCGAATGTTGATACCAAAGTGTTTCCTATACTATTCCTCATTACATTTAGATAACAGACAAAATAGATGGAATTTTCAGATTAGAAAACATGATACATTAGAACCATTATGGCTATTAATGGTTGCGATATGAAACCATTAATAGCAATAATGGAACACTCTTGGTGATACTGATAAATGAAATGAAACACTCTCGGTGACACTGCATCCCCAAGACCTTTCAGTCAGTCCAGCAGTGACTGCATTCTGACCGTGGAGAATACTACAGCTTGGGGCCATAGGAGCGACGAAAACAAAAGCAGAAGTGGTTGTCCTGGGGAAGCTCAGTGCACAGGCTGGAAGTCAGGACATAAGTCCAGTGATCACTTGAGGACATTTGTGAAATAAGATTCTCCATTGTACAAGAGACCTTCCTTCTGGACATTTGTGAAATAAGATGAAAAAAAAAAAAAAAAAAGGACAGTAAGAGAGTCTTAGGCAGGTGAGGGTGTAAATGGTAACTACTGGTTTGTGGATCAGCTGTCACTCAGCTGAGTTATTAGTAGGCTTTTAGTAAGTGTATCTGTTGAGAAAAGAAGCAGGGACATGATCAGAGGAGAAGTCATTGTCCAGATAGTCTAGAAGGCAGAGTAAGGTCAGCCTGAGTCTCCAGCTGTGGTTTTCTACCGTACCCCTTACGCCCAACCCTAGGGTATCTGGAATTGAGCTGGGGTGTTTCTATGTATACACTTGTGGGGGAGCACCACTGGCATTTAGAGTTTATGGTCAGGGACGCAAGAGTCTTTCAAGTATCAGGAAGGTCTCTTGTACAATGGAGAATCTTTCCTTGAAATGACAAGAAAACTGCAGCAGAGTGGGAATGAAAAGTGAGTCTAGAGAAGTGACATAGGGACATTAGCTCATGGGCCTGGCAAAAGAAACTGGAAATAAATTAATATGAGGAATTTAAATTCTACAAGGAAACATCATCACACAGATTAAGGAAAAACATAATTTTTCTGAACTGAAAATTGACATTTGGGAGAAGTTTAACCCTTCACTATACTATGTGGCTGGAGCCTGACCCTCAACATCCAGCTCAGTTTCCAAACTGCTCTTTCCTTCGATGAATGTCCAGTCAATGTCCTGGCAACTGTGGACAAGAGGCAGCGTGACCTCTCCTTCTCTCCTGGGTTCTACTGAATTAGGCCCAAATGTCCTGACATTCCAGTGCCACATAACTAGTTCAAGAAAGGAAAGAAAGATAGTTACTCAGATTTTTATTGAAGAAGCTGCATGAGACACAGGAAAGAAGTGAGAGGCCTGAGGACCACTTGGCAACCAGAAGCTCAAGCCAGTATTTCAGAGGATGAGAGTCCTTCCTGCTCTCAGTTTCCACTCCTTTCACTTTGCTCTCCTAGAAGGCCAGCCCAGGTCCACTTTTGCAAAAAGCACCCAGCCCAAGAGAGGAGCCCCCATTGTTCTCAGGCTTATCTCCTACAGGGTTCTCGTATCACTCAGCACTGTGGCTTCCGTTTTTCAGCAGCTATATTTCAAAAGAACTTTACTCCAACACAGTTTGGCTAAATATACAGAAAGTATGCTAACCAACCCCCCACCCCTCCCAAAGATGGTGTGCATTATAAGTATTGTCTCTCAACATCATTTCAACAGCAGGCATTGAAGGCTGACTCCTCCTGTTATAATAAAAACCACTGGAGTTGTGGTTGAAGTTCAACAGAAATTTCTAATACAGCTCTGGATGTCGATATTTCAGAAAGTCAATTGACGCCTTTTTCTTTTACCTTCAAAGGAAATGAAGTGTTTGTTGATGTGTAAGCATTAAGAAAATGATTTAAAAAGGAAAAGCATTGCAACACAGATTTATGTGTTGGAACTGCAGACTTGGGTTTAGGACATGAGGAGAAAATTCTGCATTTTCATGATTGTTGTCACAAGTGTACAGGCCAATTTCTTTCTGGTTGATCTATTAGCATAGTATTATTTTCTTTCCACAAATTATAAAAATAATTAAAATCACCATAAGCATAAACATAAGGTTATCATTAATGTAATTATAATAAAGCACATCAATATCTTGTTTCTACTGGTAAACTGTATTAAAAAATGACCAAAAAAACAAACTAACAAAAAAAAAGCAACTCAAATTTCAGACCACTGCAGAATACCTACAAATTGATGTATTCTGGTTGATGGTGCTGAGAATAACTCTGTAGGTCTGATGTTGTTTGCTAAGTCCTCTAATATAGGCTGAGCTGGGAGTTTAAAGCAGGAGCTGCTTATCTTTAGTGGAGGGACATGATGCAGGGACCAAAAGTTCTTGTGACATTAGAGACCTGCCATCCCCTAGCCACTAAGCAATGTCTCTGTTTCCTTACTCTTTGATCTGTCATCACAATGTATGTTCAAAACATGCTTAGCAGTGAGGTACTTAGCAACATCAATCCCTGCACCACTATTTTTAATACATAGTTTTGATTGGCTATTTAATTTGCAGTTATTCTATACCACTAAAACTTTACAGAGGAGAACTCATCCATCAAGAAAGCAGATGAGAATATGTTAATGTTTTAAACAATTTCTTGAGGAAAAGAAATCTTACAGCACTAGATTAAATCTATGTGCCATAGGCTAAAGCAGAGACCACTGAAAATTTTTTACTACCTCCTTGCTTAAAAAAAACTTTGGATTTTGCCATCATTTTATTTTACTGTTGGAAACTAATAAAATAAACTCTGGACTTAAATAGCAGAAAATAATTACTTAGGTGACTCATGATTGAAGTCTGAAAAACTACTCATAGTAAACTAGATGAATTGCTCAATTTTCTTC